GAAGGAGAAGAGGTGCAAGCAAAGGGAATTCGTAATATATTCAACAAAATAATAACAGAAAATTTCCCAAATCTAGAGAAAGATAGTCCCATACAGATGCAGGAGGCCTCCAGAACACCAAATAGACCAGATCAAAAGAGAACTACCCCACGACATATCATCATTAAAACAACAAGTTCAAAAACTAGGGAAAGAATATTGAAGGATATAATAGAGAAAAAAACAAATAACACACAAAGGTAAACCCATCAAAATCACAGTAGACTTCTCAACAGAAACATTAAAAGCAAGAAGAGCGTGGGGTGAGATCTTCCGGGCACTGAATGAAAATAACTTAAACCCCAGGATACTCTACCCAGCAAAACTATCATTCAAAATAGATGGAGCAATAAAAGTCTTCCATGATAAGCAGAAACTAAAACAATATGTGACCACAAAGCCACCACTACAAAAGATTCTTCAAGGGATTCTGCATGCAGAAAGTGAAGCCCAACTTAACCATGAAAAGACAGGCAGCACCAAACCACAGGAAAAGAAAAAGCAAGACAGTAGAGAGTAACCTCAACTTAGGTACACACAATCAAACCTTCAAACAACTAAGACAACTAAATGGCAGGAATCACCACACACCTATCAGTACTAACACTTAATGTTAACAGACTTAATTCACCCATCAAAAGGCACCGCTTGACGAAATGGATTAAAAAGGAAGATCCAACAATTTGTTGCTTACAGGAGACCCATTCACTGACAGAAATAAGCATAGGCTTAGGATGAAAGATTGGAAGAAGATTTACCAAGCCAATGGCCCCCGAAAACAGGCAGGAGTAGAAATACTTGTCTCTGACAAAGTAGACTTCAACCTACATTGATCAAACGAGATAAAGAAAGACATTCCATACAATAAAAGGGGAAATAGACCAAAAGGAATTAATAATCAACAACCTGTATGCACCTAATGTAAATGCACCCAATTTCATCAAACATACCCTGAAAGACCTAAAAGCATATATAAACGCCAACACAGTGGTTGTGGGAGACTTTAACACCCCATTATCATCAATAGATAGGTCATCCAAACAAAAAATCAATAAAGAAATCCAAGATCTAAAATATACAATAGATCAAATGGACCTAGTAGATGTCTACAGAACATTTCATCCAACTTCTACACAATATACATTCTTCTCAGCAGCCCATGGAACCTTCTCCAAAATAGATCATATCCTAGGGCACAAAGCAAGCCTCAGCAAATATAAGAAAATAGAAATTATACCGTGCATACTATCTGATCACAATGCAGTAAAAGTAGAACTCAACAACAAAAGTAAAGACAAAAAACATGCAAACAGCTGGAAACTAAATAACTCATTACTTAATGAACAATGGATCATTGATGAAATAAAAGAGGAAATTAAAAAGTTCCTGAAAGTCAATGAAAATGAAAACACAACCTACCGGAACCTATGGGACACAGCTAAGGCAGTCCTGAGAGGAAAGTTTATAGCCATGAGTGCATATATTAAAAAGACTGAAAGATCCCAAATCAATGACCTAATGATACATCTCAAACTCCTAGAAAAACAAGAACAAGCAAATCCCAAAACAAATAGAAGGAGAGAAATAATAAAAATAAGAGCTGAAATCAAAGAAATAGAAACCAAAAAAACCATACAAAGAATTAATGAAACAAAAAGTTGGTTCTTTGAAAAAATAAACAAGATCGACAGACCCCTGGCAAACCTGACTAAAATGAGGAGAGAAAAAACCCAAATTAGTAGAATCAGGAATGCAAAAGGGGAGATAACAACAAACACCATGGAAGTCCAGGAAATCATCAGAGACTACTTGAGAACCTATATTCAAATAAATTTGAAAATCTTAAAGAAATGGACAGATTTCTAGATACATATGATCATCCAAAACTGAACCAAGAGGACATTAATCACCTGAATAGATCTATAACACAAAATGAAATTGAAGCAGCAATCAAGAGTCTCCCCAAAAAGAAAAGTCCAGGACCTGATGGATTCTCTGCTGAATTCTATCAGACCTTTAAAGAAGAACTGATACCAACCCTCCTTAAACTGTTCCACGAAATAGAAAGGGAAGGAAAACTGCCTAACACATTTTATGAAGCCAGTATTACACTTATCCCAAAACCAGGCAAAGACACCTCCAAAAAGGAGAACTATAGGCCAATCTCCTTAATGAACATTGATGCAAAAATCCTCAACAAAATAATGGCAAACCAATTCAACAACACATCAAAAAGATTATTCACCACACCAAGTAGGCTTCATCCCAGGGATGCAGGGGTGGTTCAACATACGAAAATCAATAAACGTAATAAACCACATTAACAGAAGCAAAGACAAAAACCACTTGATCATCTCAATAGATGCAGAAAAAGCCTTTGATAAGATCCAACACCATTTCATGATAAAAGCTCTAAGAAAACTAGGAATAGAAGGAAAGTACCACAACATTATAAAAGCTATATATGACAAACCTACAGCCAGCATTATACTTAAAGGAGAAAAACTGAAACCATTCCCTCTAAAATCAGGAACCAGACAAGGATGCCCACTATCTCCACTCCTATTCAACATAGTACTGGAATTCCTAGCCAGAGCAATTAGGCAAGAAGAAGGAATAAAAGGAATACAAATAGGTAAAGAAACTGTCAAAATATCCCTATTTGCAGACGACATGATCCTATACCTTAAAGACCCAAAAAACTCTACTCAGAGCTTCTAGACATTGTCAATAGCTACAGCAAGGTAGCAGGATAGAAAATCAACATAGAAAAATCATTAGCATTTCTATACACTGAGCAAACTGAAAAAGAATGTATGAAAACAATTCCATTTACAATAGCCTCAAAAAAAATCAAATACCTAGGTGTAAACCTAACAAAAGATGTGAACGACCTCTACAAGGAAAACTATACACTTCTGAAGAAAGAGATTGAGGAAGACTATAGAAAGTGGAGAGATCTCCCATGTTCATGGATTGGTAGAATCGACATAGTAAAAATGTCTATACTCCCAAAAGTAATCTACATGTTTAATGCAATTCCCATCAAAATTCCAATGACATTCATTAAAGAGACTGAAAAATCTACCGTTAAATTTAAATGGAAACACAAGAGGCCACGAATAGCCAAGGCAATACTCAGTCAAAAGAACAATGCTGGAGGTATCACAATACCTGACTTCAAACTATATTACAAAGCAATAACAATAAAAACAGCATGGTACTGGCACAAAAACAGACATGAAGACCAGTGGAACAGAATAGAGGACCCAGATATGAAGCCACACAACTATAACCAACTTGTCTTTGACAAAGGAGCTAAAAATATACGATGGAGAAATAGCAGCCTCTTCAACAAAAACTGCTGGGAAAACTGGTTAGCAGTCTGCAAAAAACTGAAACTAGATCCATGTATATCACCCTATACCAAGATTAACTCAAAATGGATCAAGGATCTTAATATCAGACCAAACTCTAAAGTTGATACAGGAAAGAGTAGGAAATACTCTGGAGTTAGTAGGTATAGGTAAGAACTTTCTCAATGAAACCCCAGCAGCACAGCAACTAAGAGATAGCATAGATAAATGGGACCTCATAAAACTAAAAAGCTTCTGTTCATCAAAAGAAATGGTCTCTAAACTGAAGAGAACACCCACAGAGTGGGAGAAAATATTTGCCAGCTACACATCAGACAAAGGACTGATAACCAGAATATATAGGGAACTTAAAAAACTAAATTCTCCCAAAACTAATGAACCAATAAAGAAATGGGCAAGTGAACTAAACAGAACTTTCTCAAAAGAAGAAATTCAAATGGCCAAAAACACATGAAAAAATGCTCACCATCTCTAGCAATAAAGGAAATGCAAATTAAAACCACACTAAGATTCCACCTCACCCCTGTTAGAATAGCCATCATCAGCAACACCACCAACAGGTGTTGGCGAGGATGCGGGGAAAAAGGAACCCTCTTACACTGTTGGTGGGAATGTAAACTAGTACAACCACTCTGGAAAAAAATTTGGAGGCTACTTAAAAAGCTAACATTGATCTACCATTTGATCCAGCAATACCACTCTTGGGATATACCCAAAAGACTGTGACACAGGTTACTCCAGAGGCACCTGCACACCCATGTTTATTGCGGCACTATTCACAATAGCCAAGTTATGGAAACAGCCAAGATGCCCCACACTGACGAATGGATTAAGAAAATGTGGTATCTATACACAATGGAATTTTATGCAGCCAAAGAAGAACGAAATGTTATCATTCGCTGGTAAATGGATGGAATTGGAGAACATCATTCTGAGTGAGGTTAGCCTGGCCCAAAAGACCAAAAATCGTATGTTCTCCCTCATATGTGGACATTAGATCAAGGGCAAACACAACAAGGGGATTGGACTTTGAGCACATGATAAAAGCGAGAGCACACAAGGGAGAGGTGAGGATAGGTAAGACACCTAAAAAATTAGCTAGCATTTGTTGCCCTTAACGCAGAAAAACTAAAGCAGATACCTTAAAAGCAACTGAGGCCAATAGGAAAAGGGGACCAGGAACTAGAGAAAAGGTTAGATCAAAAAGAATTAACCTAGAAGGTAACACACACGCACAGGAAATTAATGTGAGTCAACTCCCTGTATAGCTATCCGTATCTCAACCAGCAAAAACCCTTGTTCCTTCCTATTATTGCTTATACTCTCTCTTCAACAAAATTAGAGATAAGGGCAAAATAGTTTCTGACGGGTATTGAGGGGTTGGGTGGGAGAGGGAGGGGGCGGAGTGGGTGGTAAGGGAGGGGGTGGGGGCAGGGGGGAGAAATGACCCAAATCTTGTATGCACATATGAATAATAAAACAATAAAAAAAAAAAAAGACCTCAAGATCCCAGTGCAGACTCTTCTAGCCACTCAGCAGAAGACTTAAGAAAGCTGCTCGCTCCCATTCAACTGGAGGACTTACACTCATTGTCGCATTAATCTCTGCCACTGTTTCTTCATCTGTGGGGAACTGATATATCTGGACCCCATTGCTGACTAGCTCACTCATGATCTTACTCTTGAACTTGTGCAGTTCATTCTTGGCAATGGTGTCAGCTTTCGCAATTATTGGAATGATGTTTACCTGTAAAACAAATGTGTCCATTTTTACACAACTGTAAGAAAAGTAACTAGACAGTGAGTAGAATATAGCAAACGGATACATACAAATAGCAAAGCTTCACTATAAAAAATAAGGATAATATTGAATATCAGATTTTCTATCTAGATGAAAAATTAGGAAGACATGGAATAATCTTTTACTTCCTTCATCTCTGAGCACTTTGACTTCCTCCCAGCCTACAATGAAAGTGTACTTGTAATTTCCGCTCCTGTGCTACCTCATTCTATTTTACAGAGAAAAAGGAAGTGTTCTCATTCTATGACAATAGCAATTACAAAAGAGCCTATTCTTTGAATAACCAACCACTCCTTTTAGATACCTCCCAGCTTCTTTAGGGACTTGATTTTTGCATGTCCTAACAGTAGAACAACAAAGTTTCCATAAGTTAAACCAGCTGTATGCAGGAACATATACTTTCTTTCTTCTGATAATGTGAAAATTCCTGGGAGGGAATTTCACCTACTTTAAAATTTTTCAAACTCAGCTGCTAATTCTTTAAAAATTAGCTTCTATTAAATTATTCGTTCATGCCATACAAACCCAGTATCAAAAGCAAAGCTCACTTTGTGAGCCTCAGTTACAGAACAGGGAAGAACTCAGAATGAGATATTAATGGCAGAGAGCCCAGAACGAAAGCCAAGGCCACGTGTACACCAAACCCTAAGGTAAGACATTCTTTCCCACTCTCCCCAAGCCCTGTCCACAGGACACATTTTCTAAGATTCATGTTTTAAGATACTTTCTCTCCCCAATAGATATAGAAGTTTCAAAAAGATACTAGGATGTCTGACATCTAGGATGATGCTCTGAGCAGAGTCTTTTTAGGGAGAGTTTTCAGGTCATGTCAGCATTCCTTGGCTTTTCTTATCCCAAAGCCAAATCAGAAATCCCTGATAAACCAGAATAAGCAGGCTGATAAGGTCCTTTTCTTTAGTCTTCCTCCACATACTTCTAAGCCCCTCAGGCTTGTCTTCCTCCAGCAAGCTTCAGACTAGGAAAACATCCCTGACAACAGGGGACATGTTTAGATCTGGACCCGAGGAGCAAAATAACATCCCCATAATGCTTACTGACTATCTATCTTGTGTACGCATTTAGTACTGAATTAATAGCCACATGGACAAAATGACAGAGGTTCCTGTTTTTCTTGGCCAAACTGACCAGAGTAGATAATGACGTCAATCTATTTAGTTTTAAAATCTGTTTTCTTTCATTGGCAGGAGCTTAAAAATCTCTTCTGAAATGATGTTTACATGATTCTTCCCTTTTACTTGTATAAATGTAATTTTGATGCTACCTAGCTACCCAACTCTACAATAGTTCTTTCAAAGTTTAACCTGCTTTGTGGTTGTGTTTTTTGGTGTGTGTTGGTTGTATCTGTGTTGCCTAATTTTCTTTCTCCTCCTTTTTAAATTGCCTGTTAAATATAATCATTTTGTGGGCTATTATCCAGGCTGGGTCTACATTCTCAGTCCTCAGTTAGGAAGCCACCTCACTCTGCTTCCTCCAGAGTGTCTGTGACAACCAGGGAGACTGGCAAGGGATCCGCCATCCTCAGCATAATGGCAAGGCACACAGTTCCCAACAGCTGAAGTGCAGTGAATCAAATGGGGTAAAGAATGGTTTCTGTTTATTCTCCCAAGGGTACCTTGGCTGCAATCATCCTTTGAGACCATTAGAGTATTTTTCTGTAAACCACCATGTCTGTGTAGGCTGGAAGCCCATAAGCCTGGTTGGGCTTCAGCCTCTCCATCCCTTTGTGGGCTGGTGTAGAAAGAAGCCTTAGGAACAGGCTGATCCTGTGAACTTTCATTCTCTCACTGGTTTATCCCTCTGGAAAGAAAGCAGTCTTTTAAATAGTATTGTTTGAACAACCGTAACAACAAAATTACATCCAACGAAGCCCTCTAAGGCCTTTGTCATCTGATAAGAACTTTCCATGAATGCAAAAGGGAGTTAGAGTCCAGGAGAAAATACTGTGGCTTAGTTTTGTTATATTTATTTCAAGATGTATTGTCTTCTATTTATTCCAAAACAGCAAATCAAATTAACTGTAAAGCAGAGCACCAACTTTTATTAAACTTAACAAAAAGAGAACATACAAATGTGAACAGCTCAGGGGCCAACCTGAAACAAAGATTTTACTTCTTGTGAACTCGAGTATGCAGTTTTAAAACCTAACAAGCTGGACTACAGGAATTATATTCCATTCTAAACTTCAAATTAAAGCCAAACCTTTTTAAAAACAAAACACCTTTTCAAGAGAGATATAGGGAAAGGTTTTAAAGAAAATAAACAAACTTCAAATTTACATTTCAACCTCCATTTAACTACTAAATATACTTTGCAACAAGTCATGTTTCGTGTGCTCTCTGTCTTGTTTTGACCTAACATCCAGAAGAGGTTTTTAGGCATGCATCTCACATGGCTAAACCCTGGCTCTGTAATTTAAAAAAAACAAACCAAAAAAAAAAACCAAAACATTATACTGGAAATGGAGAATGAATTGGGGCTTTGGAAGAAAGGTGATCTAAATAGAGAAGGACTGGGAATTAGAGTGGCAGCCAATACCTTGCTGTCTAGCTTCTTCATGGTGACCAGGTCCAGGGACTTCAGTGAATGGCCAGTAGGGGCAATGAAGTAGAGGCAGGCATGAATTCTTGTGTCATGGTAGTTGAAGAGAGAACGTTTAATCTTCAATTCTTCTTGCAAGTAGGCCTCAAATTGGGCATCAATATATTCCACTATCGGCTTGTAGCTAGAGTACAGAAAAGCATTTGAATATGTGTTTTTAAATCAGCATGTTTCTAGTCTCAAACCTCTTTTGCAGATGGGCAGAGTTTCCCCACTAAATGCTCTCAAGGGCTCCCTCCTCCCTGAGAGTTAGACCCAAGTTTTTAACCTTGGCATCTAAGACCTTGCATCACCTGGTTCCTGGGAGAGATGGCCCATCAAACTCTCCCTCTTTCCTGGCTGGCTTCTTCTGTCCCAGCAACAACTAACTATTTGTAATAGTCCTCAAACAGCAGTCCTCTTTTCCTTCTGGCCTCTGCTCATGCTGGCCCTCTAGCTAGAACAGTGTTCTTCCTATTATTCTCCTGGCTAATGCAAACCATCTCAAACAGAGACTATAAATATGCAACACCCACGTCCCAAGACACCCACAGAAGATCCTGCCAACAAACTGTGGCATTCTTTCTTGCTGGACCAAAATCAGCTCAAAATCCAACTCAGTAGAATGATTCTGACAGCCTTTAGAAACTGATTGGCACTGATGCACAAAATGAAACTGGTTTGTGATTTCAGGATGTGGTATCACTGGGAGCTTTTCCATGTCCATGTCATGGAGCTTCTCTACCATGTCTCCAGAGGTGGGATGCTCTCTGTGCTCCCATCAGTCCTGTGCACATTCCATAACTTCATCTAGAAACTGAGGAGCCCGGACTGCTAATCATTCTCAAGATTCTTTCTAACTCAAAAATTTTATGATTTAAGGCTAACCTTTGCAATCCTCCCTTTTCCTTACCAAATCATAGCTCAACCCTTATTTTGGATAATTATATATAATTCTATTAACTGACCACAAACACAATCATTAATAACATATGGCAGACACATATTCAATGAACTGCATATTCAATGAACTGCTTATTCTATAGTATGTTGGGTCACAGGGAAATCCATTAACTTTTCCAGGGAGAGGGTAAGGGGAAGTTCATTTTAGAAATGGAGAAAGCTATTAGGCATACAAAGGGTTAATGCTTCCCAAACTTACTGCCTTTCTGAGGAATAATTCCACTATAAGAAAAACATGAAATCCTTCAACACCCAAATCCCAGACCCATAACTAAACTGAAGCCTGGAAAAGACTTCACAAATCTCTTACAATAAGGATGACGGCAGCCATTCTAAAGGAAGAAATCAAAACTCCCAAAGTAAACAACAAATTGATGACCAAAACTAAAAGCAGTCAGCAAACTGCTTTTTGATGGTATCTTTCTTTGGCGATCTGATTATAATCCATTGGTTCAATGTACACACATAGAATTTCTAGGTTTTTTAAAAAGGTAAAATATATCTCAGCAATTAAAACATTCCAAGTCATGACAGGCAAAATTCCAATTGAAGGATAAATTGATGTTTCTTCTGTATTTTCCAACTTTAAAATCGAGGCATGCTGGGCTGAGGGCATAGCTAAGTGGTAAAGTGCTTGCCTAGCAAGTGTGAGGCCCTATGTTCAAACCCCATCATCCCACCCCTCTTGTCTTAAAATATAGGCATTGTATTACATAACAATAATCATAATTGTGATTATGGAATAGTTATATGAGGTAGTTAGAGACATGGATTCAAGTCAGACTGCTTAACAACAAAACCTAGCCTCAAGTCACTAGCAAGTCACTAAACTGCCTTCACTTTCCTTATAGATAAATCAGGGACAAAAGTGAACAAAAATCAGAAAGCTAGAGTGACAAGTAAATGAGCTCACTAACATATGCAAAGGACTGACACATGAAAGACATAACTATTTCACAATATCATAAACAAAAACTACCATACATAAAAGTGGCTTGTATTTTTAAGATTCTCCTCCCGTCCCCCCTCAAAAAAAGGAAAAAGAAAAAAACGGAACTTACACCACCCAGTTTGCTAGTGATCATCCAGCTGTTGAGCTCATGCCCTATAGGGAAGTGGGCCAGGCCTCTCCAAGGAGGTCCACCCATGCCTAGGAGATGATCCTTGACCTTCCCCACACTGAGGGATTAGGCTTCTCCCAGCAACCTTTAGCCTCAGGGGAGGAAAAGCATCTCAGAGCCTGCCCTGTTTTTGAGCCTGAGCTGTCCATGTCCTGTGTTCAATAGCAGTCAAGTACATCTCTGGGTTTCTATTAATTTCCCTTCTTTGGCTTTGATTCTGATCCTTCCATGCTCACAGGAGGCTAACATCTCTCCTTTCTCAGTGAGGAATGCTTTTTAGAATGAATTCAAGAAACCCTGTTGAATTCCTAGCTGCTTCTCCCTCTGTAGTCTCCTGAGGAAGCCAGTTCTTCCCATGTTTCACACTCCATCTCTCTGATGACAAGCCACAAATCTCTGCCTCCAGCCCAGATCTTTTTTCCAGAGCTTCAGGCCCAACTGCTTATCAGATATTTCCAATTACTCTTCTAACCAGCTGAACCCTTCTTCCTGCACCCACCCCCACACTTTCCCTGGATTTCTTAGCATGGTTAATGGCGCCACCAACCACACCACTGTGTGAGTCAGAAACCTGAGTTCAACCAGACCTCTTCTCTCTGACCTCACACATAGTCAAGTATGAAATCTCTTCTACCTCACTTTTTTTTCTTTTTTTTTTTCTACCTCACTTTCTACACATCATTATAAATGAACGAGAATCATACTCATGGAGAACTATTTACCAAAACTACTACTACTAACATCGAAGATTTCATTATGTAAATGAACAGTTTTCTTTAGACAAGAAACAAGCTACCCAAGTCATTTGTTTTTCAGGTCATAAACCTTGAAACAAATTCTCTTCCTCATCTTTCAACCACTCCCTTTCTATTTCTTGTTATCTGTACTCAAGGTCAAAAATACGCTTAATCCCAACTTTCCATTTTGCCCATTTCCAGTTGTAAAGATATATTGTGTGGCCAATTCAAACTTTTCTGGATTGTAGTCAAATCAGGCAAAGGAAAAGTGGGAGGGCAAATCAAATTAATCTTTACATTTTCACATAATTTCCTTTTAAAGGAGTAGTCCTTGTTAGCAAGTAATCATTTTACTCATATGCCTCCAGTCATTTAAAAAATGCAAGAAAATCACAGAGGTTGACCCTAAAAAGTGTTGGAGAAAGCTATTTTTCCATCCAACCTACCCACTGATCATTCTTGCAAAATAGCCAATGCTATTATTCAGAGACTAACTCTCCAGTTTATACATGACTTTTCTTGTTGTCTGTTAGCGAAAGACCATTTTCCTTACCCCTGCTTCTGCCAGAGTGTGATAAAAACTTAGAATTTCTAAGGCAACCAGTCCACTTCAATACTATTTTACAGCTCTGGTAAGCTTGAGGATTCTCTCTCAGTGGATTCTGATTATCTGTGCATCACAGAGCTGATGATCTTTACAGCTTGTGATGTGCCATGGGCAGCCCACCTCCCTTCTCTCAAAGGTGGGGCAAGTTAATTATAGTATTTCCAGCTAGACAATAAAGCCAGGTCCCTTCTTCTTCAGCCCCTTTCCTTCTTCTCACAAGACTACAAAATGGCCAAAGCAAGGAAGTCTTTAAACAACAAATTAAACACAACAGGAAACCCTTACCAGATCTCCCTTCCTGCCCCCTTCTAGCAAGCCTGGTCAGGGGCAGATAGTGATGCAGGAATGCTGACATGTCTAAAGGCTACATAAACAAACTGGACATTCTTAAAGTCTTGCATCTATGGCAGAAAAGCTTGCCTAATCCCCAAAATAGGCAAAAATAATCCTGGGTTAGAGAAAGAACACATCCCTTCCAATATGGCTACATATTGATACAAGAATGCATATCCCACTTCCAATTTTTTGATGGAAGTAGAGCCTGTTCAAATAACTATTTTTGAAAAAAGCTATTTGGATTTATAGTCAACAGTGTCAGCAATGCCTTTTGAGGCACAGGGTAAGAGAGTTTCAAATGACATTCAAAGAGGTTATGCAATAGCTGTCGAGAAATTTCAGAGGAAAAATATTTGGTATCTAGGTTAGGTTAATATCACACTTCCTCTCCTCTAAATCTCCTTGGAAACTATTATTTGACCCAAATGAGTCAGATCGTTTCTTAAAGAGGACTCCAGTTGCAAATGTGAGGCTCTCCACTGTACTAGCTTAATTATTTGCTGCTGGGTCTGGGAAGTAAAGCCCACCAGTTTGAGGGAAAGTCCCTGTTTAGGAGCAAGGCAAAAATCTAGAGGCAACACTGAAGCAATGACTCTGATCTGGAAAAACATATAGAATTTTAGCGGCAAGATCTAGATGGAGAACAGTTCTCATTCCTGCGGGAATCCTGGAAAAAGTCCAAGCAGAGAATGCATAAGCACCACATTCCTTAACCCCGGGGAGAAATCTGCCTGGTCTAAGAACTGGAGAACAGGCCTTGCTCTGATGTGTTCTGTGACGGTGTAATGAATAACTCTCTTCCCAGCTCCCACAATGCATCTGTGCCTTTTTTCTTTTTTTTTCTTTATTCATTTATTCATATGTGAATACATTGTTTGGGTCATTTCTGCCCCTATACCCTTTTTCTTGTCACCAGAGTTTTCTCTTCATTTACTTCATTTAGCATTACATACAGCCTTCGAGTAACAACCTCACCATCATTCCTTGGCATTGAGGGTGTAAGTTCAGAGCAACTGTGTGGCTGCAAGACTAGAGCTTAGCTGTCCCTGTCACAATACAATGTATAGATAGTCCATTCTGACCAGATATAAAGTCAAATCTTTTTCACTGTAGTTAACAACTGTTCCTGTTACCACAGGATGATGTTTGTTGAAGAGCACTCAAGGTGCTCTGGAGATGAAGCAGCTCAGTGCTCAGCTGAAGAATGAATTAAATATTTCTGTCACTGCTGGGGGCTCATACGTGTATCTGGGATTGTTACAATGTATCTACAATACACATGTGTACATAAAAATAGATCAGGTTCTTCTTTATGAAACACACACACACATATAAATATGTAACAGTATGCCACTTTGAGGAATTTTTTTTTAACTCTGGTACTAATGAGGTTTCTGGCCTTTAACCAAACACACCATAACTGTTTTCCCACATATACACAGGATTTTATAGTGTAAATTACCTAATCAGCTTAACAAATCCTCTCTTCTTAAGGGGGTAACTTTAATCCTGAATTCCTCATTCGACTTGACTGAAACACCAATCATTATTTTCAGACTCAATTTGGTGATTCTGCTCACAAAATGCTGCCCAACTTTGAGGGAGACTCACACCCATCACAGAGAGATTCACAAGTGCCTCACACCACACCCGACTATTAATGTTAAGATTGTGTGCCAACTAGAACTTTCCTAAGATTCTTCCAACAGATTATCCATAAAAGTGCTTTCTTCTCTGTAGGGCTTTTGGGGGCTCTTTATCACTTTTGCCAAAAGCCATCAAAATACAGGTTAACCCCTTATTATTACCACATTGTAACCAGTGTCCTTCCTTAGGCCCCCACATAAACACACGACTGCATAAAGTATCTCACTGGATGGCACCTAAGACAATACCTAGTGTAATTCCTCAAAGTTACCTGCATTCCTAAGGTCTATGGCTTTCACCAGCAAAACCCAGACTACAGTGAGGTCTCCTAAATCGTAGCCTGCGGCTTCTTATACAAAAGCATACTGACTCTCAGTTTCCATCAAATCTATAAGAATTTGGGGATTAAAATATCCCATTCTACCCTGGGCACTAGGGGAGTACGGCAGATGCTCATTCCAATTTCCTTTTACTTTTAAAGAGAGCTTTAAAAAAACTTGAAAACCAAATCTTCCAGACGCTCTTACAGCTGGTATTCTGAATGTGGCTTAAGCTCTGCCCAATGATGTAACTATACACAGCCTCAAAGTGGTGGAGAGCAACGCAGCAGAGGCCACACACAGCAAAGCAGTGGGAAGGCACTTGGTCAGCTGGGGTAGACTTGGTGGGGGTTCCAGAGCCTTCCCCACAGTCACAGGTACCAAGCAGTTCAAAGTGGTTGATAGTAGGTTATTTCTGCTAGCATGGTTTTATAGGGTGATTGGGTATTTTCCCAGATCACTTTTCCTAGTGGGAAACCCCAAAAACCTGACTCCAAAACCTTTCTAGAAAAATGACATAAGCTAACTTAGTCCCTCTAACAAATCCCTTTTTGATCATACCGGCTATAATCCATTTTGTTTTCTGATTCTGACCTCAAGGAAGAATATTCTTAGATAATTTCTCTGAGGACAAGAATGCCCTAGAGGACCAAGCTCCACAACTACAGAACACCAAGAACATTTACTAGTCTTTGAATTTACCTACAATGGGTTCTTCTATCTCCTCACCTATTTACATCCATCCCTGAGAAATCCGAACATGTACCTGTCGTCTTTATTTATTTGGTCTCCAAATCCCACGGTGTCAACAATGGTTAGCTTCAGCCGTACATTGCTTTCCTGAAGCTCATAACTTCTGGCTTTTAACCGCACACCTGGTTCGTTGTGAGTAGCTGGATCACTTTCAAATTTGGTGTTGAACAAAGTATCCATTAACGTGGATTTGCCGATGCCTGTCTCGCCTACATAACCACAAAGGAAACATCAGATGATGGGTCAATGTCTTTCAGACATCAGTTCAATCCAGGTTTTGATATTAATCGGTTTGTAAAGTTTAAACGCCAGTATCACTATAAACAAATCCCACTGTGAAGAGATAGTCAGTTCTTTCTATAGATGATCTATGGAACACTTTCCTAAAAATGCCTCAATGAATTTCAGAAACTATTCCACAGAAGAACTTGAACTTACAAATCAAGATGTTCTTTTTTTTTTTTTCATTTTTCTTTTATTATTCATATGTGCATACAAGGCTTGGTTCATTTCTCCCCCCTGCCCCCACCCCCTAGATCAAGATGTTCTTTACCTCTGGATAGAAAAACAGTTGCTATGATTTTTTTGCCTACTGTTAGTTTGCATATTACAAGGAAAAAATACTTTTTCTCTTCTAAATGTTGGTACATTGTAACTCAAAGAGGAAAAAACTGTATTGCTGAATTCCTGTTACTTTAAAAAGAGACAGATTCCATGTTATCAAACCTTGGCAACAGTAACTACTAATGTAACTGTGTCTACTTTGTGCCAGGCCCAGTGGCAAGAACATCCAATACATTCTCCCATTTAAATTCTCTCCCCACATGACACAGGTTCTACCGTTTCCTCCACCTGGCAGATGGAACACTGAGGCTTAGATAAGGTTTAAAAGTATCTTGCATAGAGTCATATTGCAAAGTGGCAGAGCCAGGTTTCTAATCCAGTTTATATGATTCTAACATCTACATTCGATCAATACAGCATCCTCACTTTACTATTATAAGAAAACTGACTGCCTAGTACTTTCCAGTTTTGGCTGAGTCTGTATGAATCCCTCTGAATTGTCTTTATTCTTCTTTCTCTGTGCAGCTGGAGTCAAGATTGCAAACATTTGTTAATTTTCCTAGCTTCATGGAAATATTTATGACAACGAACTAAATGAGGTTAATGACCTAAAACAATACCTTTATTAATTTATACTAATAAATCAAGTCAATTAAATGCTGATTGAGCCCCTCATATGTACAAAACAGTGTAGCAAGTACCTGGAACAATACATTAATAAAAAGGTGAGATCCAAATGGGGAGCCATGATGAATTTAGCTCAATCTTCCAAATAGGACCAAGCAAAAGTTTAGCTTAACCTCAATTCTTCTGTTGAATCAAAGATAGCTAGCAATGAGATAGAACCCAGTCTTATTGTGGTGGTGGTTGAGTAGATGATGGTGGAGAGAGAAAAGTAGAAATCAAGAAACATTAGCTTTAAAAATGCCTGTTTCGTTTGAGGCTTTTTTTTTTTTTTTTTTTTTTTTTGGTGGTACAAGGGTTTGAACTCAGGGCCTCACACTCACTAGGCAGGCACTCTATCACTTAAGTCACTCCACCAGCCTGGTTTTTTTTTGTTGTTGTTGGGTTTTTTCCTAAAAAATCTGAAAACTTTCTGTTAAGATTTCCAGTTCAATTTAAATATGCCAATACATAGCAGCCCTTCCAACAGTTCTAATTTTGATAATGTTCCCATAACATTCCCTAGTCTGATGGTTTGCTGTAATGACTTTTATAAAAGTAAAGCTCTGGAATTTATAGCCTTAGGGAGACTCTCCCACTCCCATGGACAAAAATCAACTAATTAGAAGCTCTATAGTACTATATTCGTGCTGTCCAATGTAATGGAAAAATACAGCAGAATGGAGTCTCTCTGGATTTGAGTTCTCTTTGATTAGAAGCCTTACTATAAGAATTCATTTATATGATAAAAGTTATTCAAGTCATCTGCCTTACTCTCTAATCTTTCTCATCTAAGATTTAAGATCATAAAATTTTCTACTTCATCAGCTTTCATTCAGCCAGTATTTTTCCAGGGCCTATTATGTACCAAGTTCTCTGCCAAATTCTGGGGATATAACGATGAACTAGCCTGATATGGTCTTCTCCCATGTCTTAGAATCTAGTCCAGAACAGAACTGAATACCAGACTCTAACTTATTATTATGGGAATAGCATTCTAATTGTCTTCCATAGCCATATTCCTCTTATGAGCCAAGACCATACGTTATACCCTCGTGACCTTTCAAACTGACCACAGATAACTGGACCAGGACAAAGCCCCTAACCAAAAGGCATCCTTGGACGCCTGGCTGTTATGCTATAATACTGGACTCCCCCGATCAGAACTCCCCTATTTGAACAAGAAGTGTACGATCTGCACACGACGTCACAGCATGAAAAACGGAAGGACGTTCGGAGAAAAGTAAACAAGAAGAGCTATGAGGCAGCAAGGGCTGTCCATCCATGGAGGCCACGCTACAGCACGGCACAGGAATATGGCCTGGGAACACAGGAGAAAGAGAGCAGAGCAACACAGCAGAGCAACGTATAGGAAACTCATTTGTTAAATAAATATTCGAGTACTTATTATGTGACAAGCGCAGGTGTGGGATGACATGGAGGATGAAAACAAACAAATGACATGTTTGAACTTCGGTAATGAGTGTCATTCTACACAGCTCTGAAGTCTGGCTGTGTAGTCAGACCTCAGACTGACTATGTTGTGACTGTGTCTGTCTTCTTGAATTTCCTGACCATTCTTACAACAAAACCCCATCTATAAAAGTGATATAAACCAGTTTCTGCTCCCTAATGTGATTGAGCTTACCACGCTCACAACCACCATTCATGGCTTAACAAATTACCTTAAGAGGCTTAAGATTCTGGTAGGTGATTCAACACTGGCAGTACTGAGTCATGAGCTCGTAATGCAGCGTCCGCAAGTGCAGCCAGCTTCTTTTCAGGATTTACCTATTTTCAGGACATTGGCAAAGGAACACCAGCAGAGCTCCATTACAGAAGGTTCTCCATTGTGTCAGGAGAAAATGACCTACTTAACTTTCATCTGTTTCCCTCAGGACAGCAATAAAAACTTTAATGTACATGGCAAGAATTCCAGGTTACCTGGACAAGACTGAAATTACCATCTCCTTTTACTAGGTTGAGAATTACTTAAGCACATGTGAATCTGGAACATGATATTTTTTTAAAGGCACAGTAATTTTAATGATCATTTACATGAAGGTGGAAATTAGGAACAATTAGCATTCCAGACCCTACTTAGAGCAGAGGGTTAATCAATGGGTTGGAAAAAACCACTGTTCCTCTAAATTTCAGAGTGTTTTGCCTTCCATCTCTATGCTCTGTGCTTTTCAGAGCTGTAATTAGACACGGCAATGCTAGCACCAGTGTGATTCACCAAAAGCAGTTCGGGGAAATGACAGCTTGGGAATAAAAAGAACTATAGAACCAAGGGAGCTTCCCAATACATCGGTTTCTGAGACTTCTCTCCGAACTCTGAAAACAGGGCCTTGTCTACTTTTGAAGACACACAAGAGCAAAAACATGTCTTTCTAATTGAGTAACTGACAGCCTACAGGTATAGGCGCCAGTTCAAACCAAACCAGCATAGCGATGTGTTCAGAAAATCAATGACTAACACCAGCTGTACAGCACTTCAAAACTCTGGAGCAGACAGAGTACCAGGCACAGAGGAGGCATTTGTTAAAAGCTAATTGAAAATAAAAATGATCTCAGTAATCATTTACACTGAGATTTGCCACTTTGGTGGATTTTTCAGTTTGTTGTTGATTCTACTGCCTAAATGCACAGTTGTTAGGGTAATTAGACAGTCACTCGTAAAGCGCTATCTGTGGCTTCTGTTTTTGCTGCTCCTGCCAATGCTGGTGCACGGGACGCCCACATCTCAGGGGAAAGCAGTCCTACCTCTTCCATTCTATGTGGCTCACTCATCCATAAGCACTAAGGTGGACGTGAAAACATACCACAAGGTTAGTATGATTTGTCAGAAGGCAACTGCAGACTGATCAAATTGTTCTTCTATGCGTCAGCCTGGCCACTTAGTCAGCCTGGCCACTTAGACAAGCAGCTAGCTATGCGTGAGGGTCCCCAGCCTCCTCTAAACAGTCTAGACTTCATTCTCGGATGGAGGCAGACAAGCAGCGAGCAATAAGCTGTGTTGTTATTGCTCCTCACAGACGCACTATGCTTTGGTACATACAATACCACCAGCCTACATGAGGGAGAAGCATGGGACACAGCTTTGCATCAGTCGGTCACACTTACTTAGCTGCCCCCAAACTCTGACCACTTCATCGACCACACCTCTTTTCTAAAAAATGCCTGAGAAAAAATTTTTCAAGTGTGCTCTTTTTCTGGAGCAACTATTTATTATTTTTACACTGTAGCTATTATAAACCTATTATATGTTAAACTTTTAACTTGTATGTGACACATAGTATGTACCAAATAAATACTGTTGGCAAGTATATTACCTCATAAATTAATTGCTATACAAGCCTATCGGCAGGCTTTGACCTCTGATGCTACCCTTGGTTTATTTTCTGCGGTCAATTTCACCTTCACTCATTTTTTCCTATAAGCCTCTTCATAGCCTTTCCTAGAAAAAGATAGGGCCAAAATGTTTAAGATATGATTATAAACCTCACAATTTATGTTGACACTACAGCCGTAATGAAAATGACCTTTTCAACTTGTCTGTTGTCTATTTCTTTCCTCTCATCCACTCAAAACAATTAAGCTTGAATTGTTTTTAAAAAATCATTTTCAAAATGTATTACTAATTTACTTTGACTCTCTTGTTGAACTGGTTCCTCTTCGAAAGCAGGGATGTTGCAGTATGTTATTCATCTTTGTATGTTCACAGAGACCTGGCACACAGCTGGATCAATGCTGACGACGCTTCTTAGATAGATAGCATCATTTTGAAAAATGAGTGAAAAATACATAAACTTAAAATTGTTAAGAGGGCTGGGGACGTGGCTCAAGTGGTAGAGAACTTGTCATTTGCGCCCTGGGTTCAACAACTAGCACCACAAAGAAAATAAGTAGATAGATAGATAGATAGATAGATGGATGATAAAATTAGTAAAAGAGGCTGAATACTAACTTAGCTCTAATCTAGCCTGGGTAAAACATAAGAGGCTTTACTTACACTAAAGTGCAGCTTGGGGAGTGACTGAATGTTTTGTAATGTGCTATTCAACTTAGCATCAGAAGTCTCTTCTAGGGCTAGTAAAAACTATTCTCCCTCTCTCGCTCCATTACATTTATTCAGAGGACCCAACAGAGACGGGTTCTAACAGCAGACATTTAATTCAGAGCCTCTGAAACCAGACTAAATTCATGCCAGGGTCAGTCTTTGCCTGTATTTCCTCTGCTTCCAGCCTATAAATGACTGCTACAAAACAAAATTATGATTCTACCGAATTTTAACTTTTTTTTACCCTCAGTCCTCTTTCATATTCATCATAGGAAAATAAAATAAAGCTATAAACATCACACATATACACACAGTGTAAATAATACAAATAGACAACAGGATGACAAGCAGGAAAGAAATTACATGGACACTCATGTTAAATAGACACCTACTCCTCTATGTAGCTGTCCAAATACTTTGACTGGTTAGACCACTTTTTTGTAGACTTTTGCTTTAAAAATCATTGATTGACAGTGGGAGTTTTTTCTAATACAGATATTTTGCTACAAAATGTGTGTGGTAAAAGGCTTGATGTGTCCTATCCTCTGAAGATCAGTTAATACAGACACTCCTACCTCCCAAAGAACTGCCTCTAACCAAAGGGCTCTGTATTAATTCATTAATCTGTTATTATAATGGAAGGCTTGAGGTTGAGTGACTTTACAAAAAAAAGAGATTTACTTAGTTCACTGTTCTGGAGGTTCAAGGTCATGGTGCCAACACTAGCTCTCCTCTGCTGAGAATCTCGTGGTGGATGGCATAGCAAAGGTGGGAGCACCTGCAGGCGGGAGAGCTCACATGGACAGACAGGAAGCCAAAGAAGCTGGGGAATGGCCAGGTTTGTTTTTTTGTAACAGCCCTTGCAAAAGAACAGAGCTGGGAGGACAATGAGAACTTAACCCCTTCTAAAAGCAATTTCCCCAAAGATCTCAGGCACAACTTTTAAAGATCCCATAAACCTCTCAATACCACCAAACAGATGACCAAGTCCCCAACACATGAACTCTTGGGCGCCATATTCAAACCATAGCAGGCTCCAAAGGGTTATAGAAACCCAGAGTTGAATATACTGGCATGGAAGGACATCCAGAATTTATCATGGAGTTAAAGAAAAATGGAAGAAAGAGAGGAGGGAGAAGAGGTGAGGAGAAGAGAAGGGTGGTGGAAAGAAAGGAAGAAAGAAAGAAAGTCAGAAGAATAAAAATAGCATGATCTCATTTGTGTAGAAACAAAACAAAAAAGCACCATTGCAACCATGAGAGTGTTTGCATCTGTCCAGTGTGTGTTGGTTTCATGCTCAACCTTCTTTCTAATAATGGCTTCCTTCCAATAGGGAGTCCCTTGTGTTTTGGAGTGGACTGATCCCATCTCCCAGCCAGAGTGGGCATGTGACCCAGTCCTGGTTAGTCACAGGACTCCTATGACATGTCAGCAATGACTATTCCTTCCCTTGGGATTGCTAAACTGGTAATTGCTGGAAGCTGCTGGGAGGAAAAGGTCCAAATGTGAGGCCTGGCAGAAGCAGGCAGGATGGAGAACCAGGTACAGACCTGACAGCATGCTCTGACCCCCACTCTGAAGCAGTTGTTCAATATATTTCCTTTTCAGTGTATGCTGGGGGTGGGGTCAGCCACTGAGGCACTGCATACCACATACCCAGTGAGGGCCAACACTTCTAGCAAGTCCAATCCCACTGGAAGGCTTTCCACCACTGTCCAGGAACCAGGACATAACTCCCAGATATAGTTGTGAAGCCAATTTTCGAGACAGGGCTGGAGATGCTTAGAAGAGAAGCCAGAATAACTACCCTAAGATTACAATTTAGCACAATTTTCAATAGAAAACCAACTAATTGCCAACAAACTGCTATGCTAATGAAGACTTGCCCTGCTCGTTAAAAGCCTGAACCGAAAAACAGCTAACTTATTTAGGCCACTCTGTACAACTAGCTGTGCCTCAGGAGGTCCCCTGCTGAATTTTAAAAGGCTTTCATGGGAGGAAAGGGAAAGAGCTGAGAGTTGGCTGCTGTGTAGTCATTCTTCTATCCAGTGCTTAGGACATAGTGCCAGAGAGCAAGCCGGTCCAGTGTGCCAGCCAACCGTGACTTTCTACATTACAGGCTTTCCTATGACCAGCACACAGACTACTTGCAATAGATTTCTGATGAAGTTCTTGAGAAAGGAAAACATCCTCTCCCCCAACTACTATAACCAACAAGCCAACGGTGCTTCTCACACTGAACGCACACCCTTGCTAAACTCACTTCATCTTGCTTGGACAAGAGAAGAAGTCTAACACACGCTGTCAAGTGCAGAGCAAGATGGTCCACTTGGCCACATACAGAATTGCTTTGGTCTGTCTCAAAAGAATCTCTTGAAGGATATTCAAAGAGGACTGTGGCATCAATATAACACAGCCCAAACCAGCCATCTCACTGCTGCTCAGCCTGGTCATTTGCCAGTGTAATAGGGAGGTATAAAGGAACTGCCTTTACCTGTCCCAGAGACATTTCTTCTTCAAACTAACAGGAGAGTTTTCTTTCGATTTTCTTCTTTTTTTTTTTTTTTCCTATCTTCTTCTCAATTTAAAAAGCATATGGCTAGAAAGAGGAAGAAAAATACCAGGGCCAGAGGCCTAAGCTGAAGTGCAACACTTAAGGGGTATGAAAAAGAATCCTGGGGTGTAAGTCAATAAGATCTTTTCAGATTTTCCATTTGTCTGTCAGGACAATTTTAAATCCCAGTTTAAGGGAGGTTAATTTATTTCTGATATAAAATAGAATTTTAGGCTGTCTTCTGCCCTAAGAGCAAAAGTTTTAAACATGGTTAGCTTATTAAAGTACTGTAGGTAATAGATCTTTAAAGACTTCAGTAGAGATTACTATTGCCCTATAGACAGAGACCCTAGAAACAAATTCTTAAAAAGCTTTTGAGTGTTTGTACTAAGGCATCTATCTCAGTTCCTTCTTTCAACTTCCTATAGTCTAGTTAGGGACCAAGTCCTTCTTCCCAATGAATAAATGCTTTAATAACAGTATTCAACTGCCTAGTTGCCTGACTTGGTGACAGAAATAAAAGTCATAATTTGAATAACAGCACAGGACTTACAAAGCATTTACCCCTATACAACTCTCATTCTTTACAATGTATGACATATGTAGAGTAAGTATGATTACCACACTTTACTGAAAAGAGTGAAAACATCATTCTACTTATTTCCCTGAAACACATACTTCTGACCCTCACCTGCCAACTCTAAGGGTCAGATGTCTTGCTAGGCAGCAGGTAATGAATCACTTACCCACACACAAGATGTTGAAACAGAATCCTTGAGAAGTGGACTTGTTGACCAGCTGGTCGGGAAGACTGTCAAATCCAACATGGCCAGAAAGGGACAAGTTTCGAAGCTCTTCATTCTGGAATGTCAGAGAAGAAACATTTGAGAGGTCATAAACTTTGCTACCTACCCATCACACGCTGCAGATGTTACCTCCTCCCTTCTCCTTTTAACATGCACAGAAAATAGACCCACTGGTATCCACACCTTCCTTTACTTCTTCACAAGGAAGGGCACTACCAACTCCAAAGCCATGTTCTTTCCACAAAATCAGTCTCTCCCCTCCCAGCAGGGTGCTCCATTTTATAAGTATACTAGCCAGATATGCATGAATCTACACTTAAAACAAAACAACACAAAAACAATAACAAAAACTCCACTCATGCTGGAGGAGTGTCTCAAATGGTAAGGTCCTACCTAGAAAAGCACAAAGCCCTGAGTTCGAACCCTAGTTTTAAAAAAAAATCCAGCTGGGCCCCGGTGGTTCATGCCTGTAATCCTAGCTACTCAGGAGGCAGTTCAGGAGGATCATGGTTTGAAGCCAGCCTGGACATATAGTTCATGAGACCCTATCTCGAAAAAACCCATCACAAAAAGGGCTGGTGGAGTGGCTCAAGGTAAAGGCCCTGAGTTCAAGCCCCAATACTGTAAAAAAAAAAAAAAAAAAAAAAAAAAAAAAGAATCCACTCACACTTATTTTGATAGCTTCTACCATTCAAGAAAAAGTTTTCATTTATTTTTGACACAAAGTTAAACAAGCAAACACTCTTCCAGCTGCATAAAGGAGCTTTGAAAGCTCACAGTGGAGAAAACATATCCTTACAATCAAGGCAATGTTGTAACCATCATAATGCAACATATGTACAACTTTTCAGCATGCAAACTGGTTCCATCTCCTGCATTTACTACACAGGCTCAGTGAGACTTCTCTGCTCTCCTCTACACAGCTCCTAGCACAGGCTCTGCACGCACAGCGTCTCCTCAGACTGGATCACAGAGACTAGGGTAGGGAAGTTAGTACGTTGTATCGGTGACTTAGGCTGTGTTACGTGATAGTGCTGTCTGCTTCCACAACTTGGACCCCATCTTGATCCCAGGTGTTAAGAGATCATCTATGAAACCTTTCTCTCCTGGGAAACAGAGCTCCCCTTGGTCCTTCAATTATAATAGACTGGTTTTAGTTTGCAATTTCAGAAACTAGACATTGAATGCCTTCTCCTAGAAGACAAAATTCCTGGTGCTCTGGCTGTGGTGCCAATTAATTTCATATTCAAAATACTGGAGTTTAGGTAAGGAAACGAGCTTTAGAGTTCCTTTTTTTTTAAATAAAAAAGAAAACACTTAGCACAGGATCACTACTGATTTTACAAGACTGGCTTTCCTTATCCTCTTATTTTTATATTGTCTAATTATAAGAATGATTTAATAATAAAAAACGGAGACTCCATTTTCAAATTTTAATGCTTACTGTAGGAACAGAAATGGGACTCCATAAATGTAATTTTAATGGATTTATTTATGAACAGATTGTCTAAGGCCCGTGCCACCTCTAAAATTCTGATTCTGTACCACTAAAACTAACCCAACTGCCTGCATACCATAGTGGCAGCTGTAGGTTTGAGGTCAATGGGACAGAGAACAGATGTCTAGTCTATGAATAGTTTCCTTGAAACCTGCCAACAGTGAATATGACTCAAGAGCAGGCACTTATCCTTCAACAGGATGGCATGGTCAATAGCCCCCAAACAGCTTCAGGAGCCCACCTAGTGGAAGTCAGTCCTGGTGGGTGGACAAGCTTCCCAACACTGCGGACTTCCTGTGGTCCCAATCCTAACCTGTCCCTTCCTCCTCAGATACCTCAAAAGTTCAGGCAGCAGGTATTTTTAGGGTGTTTACCACATCCGCTAAGACTTGGGGGAGGAGGATTTGAAGTGAGTCCTGGGTTATATTTAGAACTGTTTCCATCGCAGCTGCGCGGTGGCTGATCAGGCTAGAGAAGCCATGGTGTCAGCCTTCGCTTTTGCAGCATCAGACCTGCACAGTCAGGGAGCAGCGTGAAAGGAGACTAGGCAAGGCAGGACCAGGTCTCAGGTCTTAATCCCCTCTACTCTGTATCACAGTACTTCCTTTAGTTTCCAGGGCCTGAGTGTGGGTTATTGCAGTGGTTTTTAGCTTGTTGGGTTTCTAGATACCAGATATCCACCCATGACCCAATCCTAGGAAAGAATCAGTTAGTAATTATAGCTCTCATCCCAGAACCCAAAGCTCAGCATCTCATATCCTCACCATTTTCCGAAACACGAGAAACCACCCACACACCCACGGAGTATTTTTATACCCATTGAAAACCACACACAAAATGAAGGGTTATAAAACATTTTGGTCTTGAAATTTTTGAAATTTGAAGTTATGTCTCTAGAGATTGTCTTCCAACTTTGTCATAAAACATGTATATTTGGTAATACAGCTTTTAACTTCTGTAATTTGAGCCCAGTTGTCTGCCCAGTATTAAAGAAGAGTCACTGCTCATCAATGTGTCGTGGGCAAAGGAAATAGGAAATTCTTCCTTTGGTACATGAGCAGGCTTAAAAACCGGAAGCACTGGAGGAAATGAAGGAGCGGCTCTGAGCCACTTACCTGGTGACTCATGCACAGCACAGCACAGCACAGCTCAGCAGCTGAACTGAATTCCTACAACAGCATTTTGTGGCATTTGCCCTAGCATTATTATCCAAAGAATGTGGGGCCTCTTGAGTCGATAGGCCCAGTCTCAAAGAACTGGACATCTTGCCACATTGCTAACACTATCACACATCTGGAAATGACTCCTGAGCTTTACCTCCAATATTAAACTCTGCCTGAGTTCTACAATGGAATTTGAGGGGAGGCAGCTCTCTTGGGTTGTCCTATCTGTAGCTCGAGTTAATAGTGACAAAACTGAATGCATCATTCTAGGCCAAATTCACCCTTCTTCAGAGTTCCCTGCTTCAGCTAGCAGTGCTTACCTCTGCTTAAGACCATCTCCCCTGCCCCACCATCACACCTCCTTCCTCACTAACAGCCTCCAACTGGCCTCCCTGCCTTGATCTCAGCCCTCTCCAATCCTCCTGTCTTGCAACCAAAGCACCTCAGCAGTCACAGCAAACAGTGCAAATTCCTTGGCCTGCTACCTCAGGGCCTCCAAGGGCTCAACCCAAGTTCTCCATTCCTACTGACACTGAAGTTAAAGGGAATTACTTCCTGTGTCCAGGATGTCTCTCTTTCCATTGGAGAACAAAGATTCACACTATTTCCCATCACAGAATAGAGAGTCATACTAGTTCCCTTTACTGGAAGGGCCCCATATCCAATACCGACCTTCCAAACCTTCCAGATCCCACAGAACGTTTACCTCCAAAATTATCTTTATTATGAAATCTCTGGGAAAATTTCAGTGAACACTCTCCTTGGCAATGAAAGGAATATTCTGATTAGACACGGGTGGCTTAAATTACTTGGTATTCTGTGGTTATCAATCATTGACAGCTAGCATCTACTGATCATTTCCAATGTTCCAAAAAATGCCCTAAACAAAAATGAACTAATTTATTTCACTTAACAAATATAGCAGGTAGTTGTTATTATTACCCAACCTCACTTACAAATGAGAGAATTGAGGCACTAAAGTTTAGTAACTTGCTAAGTCATACAGCTAATGAGGCTGAGCAGCTGAAATCTGAATGCAGGCAGTCAACGTTCAGAGTCTTAGTCACCACTATCCACAGAGATCTAAGTTGCCAGGTAGCCTAGGACACTGACTGTTATTTTTAAAAATCCAATGTTAAAATAGAACTAAATATTCTCTAAAACTGTAATTCTTTGGCAAACATAAAGGGTGGAAGTTGAAAATTAGAATTAGAATTGATAATCCAAGGATATTTCCACTGGTCCTGGCAATGCTGACACCAGACTTTGATTTTTGCAGCTTATGGCACACCAAGCCTGTAATACAAAGCTCAGTTGTAACCATTTTTAACGCAACAGTGCCAACAGGAAGCCACTAAGTAAGTACTGTAAGACTTTAATTGGTTTGGCTTTGTTTGCTAATCTATCTGGTGAGATTTGTTATTAGATAATTTCGATAGCCCTTCCATATTAAAAAAAAGTGAAGACTAAACTCAATGGTAGAAAATGGCCAGTTTTTACATTGGATGTAATTGTTTGTGTTCATTCAAATATGCTACCAAAAGCACTAAGGGAGCTAAAAGGTTATTTTTGTTACTAATTGATAAACATTGTTCCCACCCTTAAGTTTTACAATGTAGCAGAAGAGACAGGACATACTAAATGTAATTCTGCTGGGGATAAAACTCATAAATACCATGACCTTATCTATAGGAAGACACAGGGGAAAGGTATCTTTTGGCTATAGAAATGCAGGGGCACCTTTTAGGAAGGCTGAGCTCCCCAAATCTATCAGTGAAACAAAGGTGTGGCTTGGGAAGTCTTCTAGCTAAAAGTTATCTATGCCCAAAGGGTCACTTTACTATGAACATACACTCTAAAGTTTATAACTGACAAGTTTTTCAAAGGGTGCTCAACTGACTTCATTACTGAGATAATTATAACAAATTATATAAGAATGTTAGCCAACGCCTACATTCCGAGTCCTGCTGTAAAGTATGTTCCACAATTCCCAGTCTTGCTTTAACCAGGACAGGACAGCAGAAAGCCTGGAGTCTGACAGAATGGGTTTGAATCACAGCTTTGTCTCCTACTTGCTTTTTCCTTTGTTCTGCAACCAAAAAAAATGGAGTATTTGGCAGGGTTGCATTTAATAGGTCTTCAGGAAACTTGGGTTTCCTTTTTCCAAATTAGATGAGAGGAAGAGACAACCATAATTTGAAAATCTGAAATGAGTTCTGTTATTGCTGCTAGGCACTCCAGGAGGAGTTGCTGATTGAAAAGCTCTTACAATAAACAAGAAATTAACATCACAAAGGGAAAAACTGAGTGAACAAAAAGAAAGAGGAAGGAATGAAGAATTTACCATGAAGAAAATCCACCTTTGAATAGGAAACTCATTTACAAAAC